TGTTTATTGCAGCTCAATTTACAATCACCTAAATGTGGAAACAGCCTAAATGCCCACCAACCCAGGAATGGATTAACAAGCTGTGGTATATGTACACCATGGGATATTATTCAGCCATTAAAAAAAACAGAGACTTTACAGCCTTTGTATTAACCTGGATGGAAGTGGAATACATTCTTAGTAAAGCATCACAAGAATGGAGAAGCATGAATACTATGTATTCAATTTTGATATGAGGATAATTAATGACCTACTACATGGTGGGGGGGGTGGGGAAAGGGAGAACAGAGAGAGAGAGAGAGAGAGAGAGGGAGGGGTTGGGAGGAAAGAAAGAACAGAGAGAGGGAAGGAGGGAGGGGGTGGGGTCTCAGTGTGTGACACACCTTTTGGGGGAAAGACACAATTGTAAGAGGGATTTTACCTAACAAATACAATCAGTGTAACCTGGTTTGTTGTACCTTTAATGAATCCCCAACGATTAAAAAAAAAAAAAAATACTAATCAGTACTTTTTTTTTTTTTGAGAACAATTTGGTGGTACTTATCCATTACAAGATTTACATACTCTTTGACTCAGTAATTCATACACAGGAGCACACACACTCGAGGTTCCTTTAAGAGCTACTACCCAGGCACAAAAACTAGAGACATTCCATAGGGTGGAAACTGAGTCAGCCTGCTTTGCTAAGGACAAAATGGTTTGGGGCTCCACCAACCTAAGTGAACATGAAGTGTGGACAAGAAATAAACTGCTATTGTTTTAACTCCCTAGACTTTGGGGGTTATTAACATATGATAACACAGCTCGACCAGTTATACCTTGGCACATTTATACTGCAAAATACTATGCAGCCACTATAAATAATAAACTTGCTATGAATATTTTGAATATAAACATGAGAAGGGTCTTGCTAATATGTTAGCAAGTAATAAAAGCAAGATATAAAATAAATTATCCAGTACAATCCCATTTTTGTAAATCAAAAAACTACCTGTGTGTGGCTGGATGCCTATAGCTCAGCAGCTAGGGCACGGGCCACATACAATGGGGCTAGTGGGTTTGAACACAGCTGGGCCTGCCATATAACACTGACGACTACAACAACAACAACAAATGGCTGGCTGTTGTGGCAGGCACCTGTATTCTCAGCTACTTGGGAGGCTTAGGCAAAAGGATCACCTGAACCCAAGAGTTTGAGGTTGCTGTGAGCTATGACACCATTGCACTCTACCAAGGGTGACCAAGTGAAACTGTCTCAAAAAAAAAAAAAACCTACCTGTGTGTAACACTAGTTAGATACACTAGTGGTAACAATGACTGCCTCTGGGGAGTGAAGGAGGATTTTCAGGGGAATGGATGTGAAAAGAATAGTTGTTGGGAGGAAATTCCAGTATAACTGTATTAATTTGTCTTTTTCTAAAGTAGTCATGCAATCATGTAATTCATTTTATTTTATTATTTAAATTATGTAATAATTGCACAATTTCATTATTTAAATTGTATAAATAATAAAATGAAATGTTAATAATATAAGTAACCAAAAAAGTATATAAGTTTTCTAAACCTTTTGATCCATTTCAGTAAAAATAATTCACAGAGACCAGGAGTGGTGGCTCACACTTGTAATACTAGCACTATGGGAGCCCAAGGCAGGTAGATCACCTGAGCTCAGGAGTTCGAGACCAGCCTGAGCAAGAGACCACCTTGTAGTCTCAGCTACTTAGGCGGTAAAGGTAAGAAAGTCACTTGTGCCCAAGAGTTTGAGTTTGAGGTTGCTGTGAGCTATGACACCATAGTACTCTACCAAGGGTGACAAAGTGAGACTCTGTTTCAAAAAAATAAATAAATATAAATGTCCGGAAATAAATTCAGATACTTGATTCTGGTTAACAGCATGATGGAAAATATCATTTTCTTTCTTTTTAAATAAGTCAAATTTTGTTCTCAACCATAACCCGGCATAGTATCAAATGTAATAGAAAAATAGGTTTTTTAAAAATCTCAAAAACAGCCTCGGTGCCTGCGGCTCAAGCGGCTAGGGCGCCAGCCACATACACCTACGGTGGCGGG